AAGTTGTTTTGGCGATGATAGTCATCCTTTAGTCTGGCTCTAGGCTGCAAAGCATCGAGCATGGAGCTACTGCTATGAATGCAAAGGGAGGTAGCCCTGTCCTCTAGAAGGTCTAGAAGGCATTCGTGTGGGACCCTGCAGAACCCCACCCTTCATGCTCCAGCTCCAGATCTACTTAGTCTTTCTTATAGTTGATATTTGAACTGTTAAACAGGTTTAGATCTAGATCCTGAATGACTTACTGCTCCTCTGTACATCACCAGTGAACTGCTTGTCCCTAGATCAGCAAATCCTTCCAGGTCCCCCTCTCACAAGGCAGGTTCTAGGCCCTGTAYGTCTGACTGGCGACCTTTGATCAAAGGTGTCTCTCCTCTTCCGTATTTCACGGTATTCCAGCGCATCTTGTTTGAAGGGATTACCTTCCTAAGTGACACATTTCTATTACATTGTCTTGTCCATCTCATGGGCTGTCAGTCTACAGGCACGCATAACCCCTAAGCACTATCAGCGGTGATGATATCTGTCCTTCTAAGGCACTGATGGCACTACTGAGCAGCACAAGGTCACGCACTGATCACTGTAGCGCGGAGCTCCCTGAGGAAACCATCTCCTGAGATAAGATTCCCCACTGTAAGTCACATTTTTGCTTATGAACCACCCAGTTCATCTAGTTAAAACGTGCTCATTAGCTCTGCTCACCTGGGCAGATTCTTTTTCCTAAGACCTGCGGCTTGTTCAGTCATGCTTCCTGCTTCCTCACCCCCCATGAATTTTGTGCCCTTCCAGGCAGCCTGAATTGTAATGAACAAAAAGCAGAGCACGGGAATATCCCCTACTGCCACATCCCTCTCTTCTGTGGTGTCTCTTCTGAGTCTTTTATTATTCCCTGTGATGCCCTCAGCACAGACCCACTGCCTATGTTCAGGCCCATGGGATACTGCTGCCACAGATCCCAGGCACCTCCAGATGTAGGGGAGGGACCAACCACTTCACCGCCAAGAAGTTTCCAGTTTGACCTTATTTCCCTGCACAGAGACCACACTGCAGTGCCTCCCTAAAGCACACGGAGCCCCCRCCAGTCACCCTGGCAGCAGTGAGAGCCTCCCAGCACCACCACCSCGTGCTGGGACACACGAGGTGTGTTTCCTCTGTCTCGGTTTCCCACTCCTTGGGTGAGATCATTCCAAGCAGCAGCACCACCGTGGAATCSCAGTCTCACAACCCAGCACCTTAGGAGACCCAAAGTAAGCCCCACACGACACACTCCTGGAGGTCACGTGGCAGCCCATACCCCAAACCTGTGCCCCCAAACCAAGGCATGTGCATGKGAGAGAGCTTGCAAGAGCTTGAGTTCTTGTGCGTGCAAGAGCTTGAGCATATACACGGCACTCACATCATGCCCCCACAGCRCTTGTGCACCCACACACACCCCAGGGCATCTCCACCACGGGAGCTGGGGGCTTGGACCGGAGGAAAGCACGATGCTCACGTGCAAGGCACACACAGTGACTCATTCCCTATTTACCTTTTCCCATAATGTGCATGACTTTATGCTCCTCTATTGTACAACTCGCATCTCACAGTTAGGTCCTAGTAGATTGAATCTCATCTAACAAGGAAATTGTTACCTACCCAACATTGTCCTCATGTTTTCCAAGCATGCCTTTGTTTCTTATGGCATGTCACATGAAAGTCTTTTGAAGGAACCCCGTGAAGCATCCCAAACACAGGACCACATGTCTTTCAGATAATACCAGGAGGTCTCTGCTTTGTATTATGGAGGTGTAGGAAGAATATCACAGCCCTACAGTCTTCACAGCATCTTTTTCCCCATCAGGGTGGCTAGAGCAAGGATGCCTAGAAGTCCTTTGCCGGCAACATCTCTCTGGTTCAGGAAACACCACATGMAGTATGTCAGGGCTTGGCCCCACTGTCAGATACCCAAACTTAGTAACTTCCAATCATCTAACTGAACCCTAATATGACTTCATTTCCAGCTGCCTTTACCAGCTCTCTGGAATTTGGTTGTCTCATGTGRAAGGCAGGCAAGAGGGGTTTGGATGAGTGCATAATTACTACCTCATTCCCGCTCATCTGCATGCTCTCCATGCTTTGTGGGAGAAAAAATCCCTTTGTGCTTCCAGCATCTGAGCCCAGCAGGGCCAAGGGAGGAAGCCAGCATTGGTAAAAGCATTGCAGGAACTTTGCAGGGTCCACCARGGTTGCACTGGGAACAGAGAATTGCTGACCATAATTTTTAAGCAGTAGATCTGTTAACACACTGGCCGGTGTTGCAGGTCTTGGTTGGGATCTCAGGCATTCTAAACATGAGCGATGGCCAGATCCAAGCAAGTCTGGCTTCTGCAATGGCTCCAGAGCGCAACGCTGCCGCCTGACACGCGGAGCTCGCAGGAGACCTGCACAAGCCCGTTTCTCCCCTCTGCCTTGCGCGGTCGTCTGCACTTCTGAAAATGGGGAGGAAGCGAGTTAAAATAGCCCGAGCTAGAGCAGCAGCAATACACCTGATGTTGCACAGGCATGTCCGACTTCACACGGCAACACAACGGAAGAAAAGTAGGCAGAAACTTCAGGAAAGGATAACACTATTGGAAGTTCCTGGCAATATAARAACCAAATACTTTCCCAGAAACACGGAGTTCCTCCCTCCTATCTCTACTGCCTCTCGTCATGAAAAGCCTCACAAGTGTGCTGCAAGTTCTCACCTAACAGATTGGAGCTCAGGTAATAACTGCTTTTGAGTCCTGAGGCCAAGTTTCAGTCTCATAGATGACCCAGATTGGGAACCGTACAGTGAAGAGAAGGTTTGTGCATCTTCTTATTGTTTTCTTTCTTATGTTTTCTATTCTTTCCCCAGGAAGCCTCTTAATCTCACAGGACAAGTAACTCCTGCTTCAATCAACAAGGATCTGTCCCGGCAGAACAGGAAAATCAGTCTCATGTCAGCAGGGCTGAAAAAAACACATGCTCAAAATGTGAAGGAAAAAAAATCAGAGATTATGCGAATGTCTTTAAGTCCCATTCTGAGTTTTTCTATAGCACATTCTACCCATGAGAAAAAAAGGACTGGTGCTTCCTTTCACTGGAGAGGAGACACAAGGAGGTAAATGTGATGCCCTGATAGCACGGAGGGACCGCGGGAAGGATGGCAGTGAGACTCAGGATTTCCCATGTGGCAGGCCACCTCCTGAATGCATCTTGTTATTTCTCTCTGCACTATGGGAAACCAGTTGTGTCTGTCCCACAAACTGGAGGGTTTGGGGTTTTTTCTCCCTTTCTTTTTTTTCCTGCTAGCAGCCAGGTAGAAAAGATTTCCTCCGAGAAAGTGGTGAAAACAGAGGGGTACAGAGCTCGGGGAAGGGGTGAGGGAGGCGGTGGCACGGGCAAGTGTTTGTGCCATCCAAAGCAATGACTCCTCCGGTGCGGGAGCGGGTCCCACGCCCARCGCCTCTCCGGAACCTCGCGCCGTTACTGCACCGTGGGAAAGCGGCGGCGCCGGCACCCAGCGCGGGTGAGTCAGAGCCCCACCTTGCTGTGCACGGCAGGAGCCGCTTGCAGAGGCACCCCAGGAAAGGGCTCTTCCCAAGAACCCTTTCTCTTCCCGAGCCCTTTGCATCCCTTCGGAACCGATTCGGGCGCCCAGGAGCTGCATCCAGGAAGATGCAGCTAAGAATGAAGCCATGTGCTGAATTAGCCGGTGTGGAAATGAATGAAATAACGAGCCCTGATGGAGCTTTCTCCTCCAGCACTCAGAGCGTCGAAGACTGACATTGACTGGCAGGTTTTGAGCAGGCAGAAAGGGAATGGGATGAGCASTCACTATTACTCATGGACAAGTAGCTAACTGCTCGTCTTTGCCCTAGGAAGGGTCAAATAGAGCTTGGTGTGGAAAGGCAAGTCCGCTGTGTGGAGTTACACCTTCTCAAGGGCTCTGATCTGAAGTGGGACCACTTGCTGCTCCTGCCAGTGTTGCAGGACAACCCCCAGAAATGACATCTGAGGCTCTGCTCCCCACATCAGCTGGCACTTGGAGAAGAAATGGATCACTTCCATCTTCATCCTGGTAGGAGGAACAGGAGGAGAGGCATGGACCCCTTGGTCATATGTCCCCCTTGGTCATACTGGTCCATACTGGTCATACCTTGGTCATACTGGTCTTCAGTCCAGACTGAAGACAGTGTGGAAGGAGATGAGCTGCTATTGCTGCTTCTCCCCACCCTCAGGTGCTGTGGAGAGGCAGCAGAATGTCCAGACACAGACCACAAATACAAGTTGACCGTGAACCGTGGTTGTTGGCTCTTGGCTGCCCATAAAGACCAGCCCTCTCCATCACACAGTTTGCAGGGCTTGCAGGGAAGCTTGGTTTTAATACAGCTGAAGGACATTCAGTTCAAGCTGGAGTCTGAGGCTGGAGGTCTGCAGAGCAGGCAGGTCGACCTGGATGCCACTATTCCCTCAAAAGCATGTGGATAGTTACACTTAATAGGGGTCTCTTGCACTCAGCATGCTGYTGGATGTGCACGTGGGGCCATTAAAATGGGGCCAAAGGGCCCAGAGACCTCAGGCACCCAATTATGAAGGTGCAATTCCTTGCAGTAGGCTGCATCTCTTTCCAAATGCCTCTGGCAAGATACCTCTGGCAAACTGGCAGATACACAACCACTGACATGTAGACACAGCTATTGCATGCACTGTGCTCCACGGGGCATGACCGTTGTCTGGCCCGCATGACTTGTGCAGACACAAAAATAACATTTTTAATATTATTTATTCTCTTTGAACACAACCAGACACACGAGGTGCTTTGCACAGACAGATTCAAATTCATCTTACACATAACCTTTGGGCTCCAAATCCATTTATAAAGCTTCCAGGTTCTCCTGAACTTGACTCCCAATAGACCCGTATGATGGTGTCAATCAAAAAAAAAAGAAAGCCAAAACGCTCTCATTCTTTCCTTTCCCATCCAACTATCAGGAGGCCAACTGAAATTAATGGTCCAAATTCCAGTTCATGCTGATGTACTTTTCAGGTGTTCTGTCAGGGTAAGAGTAAATCATAGAGTGACTGCCAGTTACATATATATTTACRTCAAGCCACTTTATTCTACCTGGTTGGAGTTAAGGAGTGCTAGCATTAGGTGATGTTGAGTACAACACAATTGCATTGGCCAAGAGCTCTGCCGAAATAGGGACAGAACTGGGTGTGTGGACAATTCAATTTTTTGAGTGCTGTTAAGCATCTTAGGCTGAACCTAGATTTTATTGCTCTGTCACAAAAAAAAAAAAAAAAAGATTACAGATAATGAGCTAATAACTCTGCACTCTCCCAGCCTGCTTTGCATCTTCAAAGCACTCTATAAGAACAAACTAATTAACTGTCCAGAGAAGAAGCTCATGACTAAGAGCTGAGAAACCATGTGAGTCAATCTGCTTGCAACAGGTCTTYGCAGATTTCAGTAAAAATTCATTTTGTAGGAAGATCTGTTTACTGGCCTAACTGGTCACACCGAGCTGAGGCCACATTCCATGAGTGTGAGAAGCACAGATGGACCCAGCCTGGGAGAAACCCCACGGACTTCAAAAGGACACCACCTCAGCCGGAATGCCCCAAAACCAACAGTGCGGCTTCCTTCTTTTAATATATGTGTGTGTGCACTTAATGTGAGCTCAAGCTGCTGAGCTAACAGTCCCAGAGCATCGCACCTCTGCAACGCTCCATAAAACAGGGACACACGCCCCTCAACTATCTGCATGGGGAGTCATTATTTGCAAAACGCCTTTTTTTCCAAGGTTCCAAGACTATGACTTAGAAAGAACATACTACAGCAGGGTCTGTTCATGGAGGATTATTGCTCCTGATGCAACCTTGGGMGCTACCTATCCTATTGCCTTGGAGCTGTATCACCACATTGAGTAGTTAAGTTCAAGTCCCAGCTCTCAGTCTCCTTCCTTTGGGCAAATAATTAAACTTCCACAAGAATACATTTTTTCTTGAGGGTCATTAGGTTTCTTTGCAAACGTGGCTCACATTTATCTGAGCAAAATGGAGATGCCAGCATTGGTCTGGTCGATAGCTTGATGAACTCAGAGACYGATCCCTACAAAAAGCCTTAAATAGAATTAAGACAGCGAAGAATGTTGTCTTGGAAACTCCTGCCTATCTGCATGTATTTCCAACAGGAAACATCCCTTGCCTGCCTGTGAGATATGAATCTGAATCTCTAAATTAGAACTCAAATTAAACCCCAGTTGCCCAGAAAATCATGGCCTTTGGTTGTGGTGGGCTGGTGAGGAAGGTAAACTGTACTCTGGGAATTTGGTTTCCATCTTGTTTTCTCATCACGAGACATTTCAGAGATGCAAGTCCTCACCTCGTGACATCTCAGGCCCAAGGAGACTGACATTTTAGGTACAACCTCCATTCCTTCTCACTAGCTTAGACATCCATCCACATGCAAGCTGGAGAGGACCCTGGGATGAAGCACTTAGCACTTAGATGTCCCCTGGCTTCTCTAACCATTAGGGAGACTGAGTTAAAACTGCAAATCAAGGATTCAAGTGCCTTAAAGCAACCTTTATCTGTGGTTATAACCCTTGTACCTCTGAGGCCAGCCTTATAGGTCRCAGAACAAGGGGACAGATTTCCAAAATCTCTGTCCCGCGTGCCATGTCTTCACGGAGCGATCCACAGCTGGTGTTAGCAGCAGAGAGTGGTTGCTCCCTGTGAGCTCCTCATGCACAGAGGCTTTGAGCAATTTCACGTTGTTTCTCCTCCGTGCCAAAAAGAGAAGTGCTTCTTTCTGRGTTGTTTATTGGTTTGCATGCGTGGAGCTGTCGGTAGATTGGCATGTCCTTAGCCCAAGGGCCTTCAGGCTGAGCAATTGTGACTTTTCCATAGCTGCCAAGAAATGCCAACAATTTCCAGAGTCCTTTAGTTAATTTGTGCAATGATGATGTTTGGATGGCTGCAGTTAATCACAAGGCTCAGGAACTTGAAGTGCTAATTGTCTCAGCTGGCAAATAATCAGGTGCACAGGAGAAATTCCCATCTTGCCACACTGTGTTATCCAGCCAGGACCTCAAGTCCGTGGCTTTATCCTGCCATTTTGAGACCTCTGCTCTTCCTTCTTAGCTTCTGCCAGGGTGATTCTGTCTACACTTCTTTCAAAGAGTTCAAATCACTCTCTTGGACAAAAACTCAGAGGCGGAAAACACTTGCAAAACCAAGCTTTACATTTCAAAAATAYCTTGTTCCAGAAAACTGGCAGAACTGGAGAGCTGAAAAAATTATCGGAATTTTGTTTTCTGCCTGTTTTATTTCATGGCATGTCATAGAGTTAATGCACAATTAGAGTAATGCCAGAKCTTTAGCAGTATGGCCCTGAAATACTACCTCAACCATTACAATTATTCCTCTATTTCTACAGCTAATCAAGGGAACATTTGGTTCCTAATCAAAAAATCAAAGTCTTTCTCTAGATCAAAGTGTTTTGTCTTTGCAATAACAGCCAAGTTTGATTTATTGCTCTGGGAAGGCACCACTGTGTTTATTTACATGCGCAGGCAAAACGTTCGAGTGGCTCACAAGGATTCTGAGACCGAAGAAGCAACACGAATAGAAGAACTTGAAGATCTGCATTGTGCCACAATCTAGCACAGCAGCTGTTGGGCAGAGAAAGGAAATTATAAGTCAAGCTAAGACAAAGACAGTACAGGAGGTTGCAGCTCAGCTGGGGTTAAAAAACAGAGTGCAAAGCCGTGCTCACATCAGGCTGAGCAGAGATTGGAGCTTGAACCTTCCATATCACTCGTGAGTGCTGCAACCACTAAGGTATTAGAGAAGGGATGCATTGCCTTCAGTTGCTGCTCTTCCCTCCATGTCCTTTAGCTAAGGCTTAGCCTTGGAGGCAAGCCAGGAAGAAAGACATCTCCTTGGTGGATCAAGTGCCAAGTGCTCAGCAGCATCAAGATTCAATGGTTCATCAGCCCTAACCCAGGGAGCCACAAAGGTCAGGCTGGTGCTCTAGYGGGCAGAGATTCGGGCCGGCATGATGGTGTGTAAGGCAGGGGCCAGTAGYCCTGGGCATCTCGTGCTGCTCTTGGAGACCCCTCAGGAGACCAGCTGCCTGTGTATTAAAGGGACATATTGTCACAGCAAGATAGAAAAGCAGAGCCCACATTTCCAAGCACTTTGGATCTGAGTTTTAGGCATCATTTGTTTGGAGAGGAAAAGTTGTTCCAGCAGTGCCTTTAGAGACATAGGACCACTAAGAGTGTGTAGGCTTTAGTACATCAGTAGTCATTTCCTCTTGAATTGTGTGGGTGATATGAATATGCTAAATAAAAATAAAGTGTTCTGTGAAGGTAAAATACGGAGTTATTCTCCCAGACTCTGGATCTGTCCRTCAGTGAGACTTGCGCTTCTACTTCTATAGGAGCTTGCACAGCATGGTTCATCCAGCCTGCCACGAATGTCCATCTTAGTCTAGATGAGATGCATGACTGAGAAAGAGCTGCTAGATATAACACCACGTGTTTCATTGCTTCCTGCTCATCCCCTTCTGTGTCAGTGCCTTTTATTTCACTTTTAGCAGAAAAAAATGAAGATAATTGCTTCACAATAGGAATTTTCCCAGTGCCAGGTCATGCCAGGTCCAAAGACAAAGATTTAAAAGTTCACATTTCGTTTTCAACATACATTTCCATTTTCTGCCACTCCAGCAAACCCAAAGCCAAAGTAGAGCTTATCTGGAAGGGCAGAGATATCATGTGCCGGGTCCCTGCGGTAAGAACATGGTGTGCATTGGGACTGCATTTTGGCTGGGGAACAAAACCGCATCCCTTGCTAAATGCATTTGTGGTCATCTAAAAGAAGACAACTAAAACTCAGTRCTGCGAGCAGAGATCTTCCTCAGAGGAGGCCCATCACAGGAGCTGGCACGGCRACATCTCCACATGTGTGTGCATGCAGGGCATGTGACTGTGCTGCACGTGGATGTGCGGGATCACAYCTGGGTCTCTGCATGTCCATGTGTGCATATTTGTGTCTGTGCATCTCTGCAAGGGAGCTCACAGCTCTGCGTGCTTTACGAGAGCTGGCATTATTGTGTATTTAAACATGCCTGCAAGCCGGGAGTGTGGAGGTGCTTTGCCTATTTTGCATCTGTTTCTGGYTTATCTGCACATGGGAGCCTAGTGAAGTCCTTCCTCGGTGGCTTCCAAAGCCACAGAAGTGACATCCAGAGACCTCTCTCTTCTCCACATATCCCTCATTCCTGAGCACCCCTTGCTCCTGCCCGTGACTGCCAGAGCCTCAGCTGGAGGGACTGCTGCTGCTGCAGACCATCACAGGAGCTTTGGTGCTCGGTATCCCTCCAGGTCAGGAGATGCGACATGGCACCCCCTTCATGGCCAGCTGGGACCTTGGGGATCCCAGGGCTGACCCCAGGGCTCGTGACAGCTCAGCATCTCAGTGCTCCTGCCAGGGATTGCTCCACTGCTCCCCTGCATCACAGCAGAGCGTAGCTCACATCTGGGACTTCAACTGAAACCCGGGCATGAGCGCACATGCAAAAGCAGTGACTCAGACATCACCAGAAAGCTTATTTTCCTTCCACAAAGAGCCAATAAAGTGCAACTTCCAGACAACAGCTAAAGCCTCCTCCTTTCCATCCCAGATCGTTGCTGCCTGCTTTGTCAGCGGGACTTGCCTTATGAACATGGGTCACTGTGTGCCTACAGTGCATTAAAGATCGAATTGATGAGTCAATGCACACGTGGAATCAACATAAACCATGACAACTTTAAACAATTAAAGGAGATAAATTGATACCTATGATTTAGCTACTATAGGCAGTTATTTATAGGGCTTACAGGTTAATTTACAGTTTTACAAAGAATTTGAAAGTAAGCATAAAAAGCTTGGCTATGTCAGATGCTTACAAATGGACCTGCCATAYAGGAGAATGCATTGAGAAGGGCCATCTCATAACCACATACTGGCCTGGCACTCTGGAGATCAGAGCTCCAGGTTGGAAAGTGCTTCAAATTCAGCGCTCATATCCTTTCTCTCTCTCTCTTAAGATATATCTTGTTGCCATTCTTGATCTACACAAAACAAAAATCAATTGTCAACGATTGCTCTCTTTTCAGTAGTTTTTGCCTAGCATTTGACCTCAGCTCAAACTCTAAGCAAAAAGGAGCTGTGCTGCCCTTTAATKTGCTGGAAGGCACAGGGAAAAGATGGGATAAGCCCTGCTGCCTCCGTGATATGTCCTCCAACATAGTCCTGTCTGCTGTCCCTTCCCACCACTGCTCTGCATGCTGCTCTTGCTCACACTGATGAGGCATCAGGGCCACCTCAAACTCAGTGCTGTGCAAGATGAGTGGAGGTGTTGCTCCAGTGTCTCCAAGGTGGGTATGGCAGTATCTTTCATCCTGTATGGATTCTCCAGCTGCATAGGGCTGGTCCCTATGGTAGCCCTTAGCAAGGCACATGAGGTCCTGACCATCAGGCTACTGCGTCATCCCATGAGTCCTCATGGATCATTGCAGTTATGTTATGGACTGTAATGCTGGTAGCCTGGGCACATGTGTATCCTTGGTTTCATGGCTCAYGCACTTGGCCAGTTGGCCACAGGACATCAATCCTGAGGAACAGCTGGACCCAAAAATCTCCTGTGCTGTCCTGGGCATCACAACCTGCTCTGGTTAGCACAGTCTAGCAAAGACATGAACAGGCTCTTTCATGGTCTGCATTGTCTCTAGCAATAGTGTCACATACAGCTCTTCAGTATGTGTATGTATTTTAACCTGCAAGAGTGGTCCTGAATCTATAGGTGGATAAATGCATGAGGCCACCTTATGCATAGCTTTGGTTTAGCACCATCAAGACAAAATAAAACATGGGAGCCAATGTTTCACCATCACTTTCTGTGCAACAATTGCATCCTCTTTTGCATGCATCCATTCAGGGGACAACGGTAGGCCAGGGAGGATTCTGCACTGGAGCTCCATCAACAGACCAGAAGGCAGGAATGACTCTGAGAACCTGGGCATGGGTTTCTAATGCTGCAGTCCAAACTGGTGTGACAGCAGTGCTAAAGACCAGRGGAGCAGGATCTCTACATCAGGTTGGCAGAAGCCTCTGCAGCTTCAAGGTGCATTGCACCTTACCAGATCTGAGGTGGGCAGACGCATCCTGCACTGCACCACAGGCTGATGTCCTGCACTGCACTGGCTGCACGGATGCAATCCGGATTCTGCATGGTGCTTTGGTTACATGCGCCCTAGAGGTCCCTAGTTCCCTGCACTGTGATCTCAGCACCCAAGATGCTCACCAGCACGAAGCACCCTGCACCCACAGGCCTTGGCACAACACCCTGCAGCCATAAGTGCACTGTGGAAGACGCCAGCACCCGTTAGCGTCCTGAAGGAGATGCAATGGGCTCTTCTGCATCCCGCCGGCTACCTGCACCCTGCAGCGCTCTGCTGTGCCTGGAGATGGCTTGCACAAGGAGCAGAGATTAGGAAGGGGCCCGGGGCAGGGCGCTGACTCAGCACCGGCTAAGGAGGGAGGCGCTGGGAAGGGAGGTGCACGCAGGTGCGCCAGCYCCGGCGTGCTCGGAGCCGGAGCCGGGCTGGCCGGGAGCCAGACGTGCTGCGGGAAGCGGGGAACACTCCTGTGCCTCTGCCCCGGGAGCAGGGAGAAGGGCTGCAGTGCCGCGGCGTGGCCACGCATCYGCAAGGTCCTGCCTTTGCCCACCCAAAAAGGGGAAAGATTCAGCCCAAGTTGCGCTTTCTGCAGGTCAGACATACCYTTCTTCAGCGAGTGCTCCTCTCTCTTTGGGGCCATGAGCTTGGGAGCTTCTTGGGACTTGGTATCCCTGGCACTGCCATTCACCCCATCTTCCCCATTTCTGTCCACTAAGGGCTCATGTGAATACCTCCAGGCTGGATTTTGATGAGGCCAGTAGGGTGTGAGGGTTTCCCTGCCATTGCTGCCTCCCTGGAGCTGAGGTCTCCTWGAGGTTTGCTGCCACTCTACCACGGCTCTTCTTGAAGCAAGCAAAATCAGCCCTCATCCAACAGGGAGAAAGCTGCAGCATGCCCCATCACTGCACCTGGGATGGGGGAGGACGGGCAGCAAGAAGCAAGAGGGAATCTTCTTAAGAGCTTCAACCACCACTATTCTGCAAGCCCTCCCTCCCCTACTGCTCTGAGGGGAGCTAGACTTTGCCTTGATGCCTGACATTGCTGAGCTACAAAAACCGACACCTTGCACTAGGACAGGGTCATGCAACCTTGGTATCTTCTAGTGGGCCAGGCCCAGACCTACGTGCCAGCAATACTTAAATTAGGCAGCAGACGTGTTTGCAAGGGCACTAAGTGTGGGAATATGCTACAGAGCTGCCAGCGGCTGGATGAAAGCAGCAGGTTATGTGCATCCCTGACAGGACACATGGATAGTCTCTCCATGACAGCTCCTTCCGTTATCTCACATCATCCTTATAAGCTGTCAGAAACATTCTGAGGAGGCAAAATAAGTCTGCCCAGGCCCTTTGGGATCATCTCATCATCCAGGGAGCAGAGGGCTTGGAAAAGCCTTGCTGGAACGTGCCTCTGGCCATGCTGCTCCACAGGGCATGCCCTGATGTGGAGAAGAGTGCGGGGTCTCTAATACACCRGGAACAGAAGTGGCCCTAACTAGGATCACCCCAGACTCTCACAGGGAAAGTAGATCAGACCTTGTTATGGAAACCTGCCCAGCAATGAAGGTGTGAGAGGCTGCAAGGCAAGGGCACATGTTACTCAGGAAGTCTGAATAATCAAGAYACCCGAGTGGCCGCCCATGCCCTCGTACCCCAGCACCAGGAGGGGGGTCTGCAATTTTGCTTGAGCAGCAGAGCGCTGCTAGGACTGGTGCCTCTTTGCTCTCAGAGCTTCAACATGGAGACAACACCCACACCCCCTCACCATTCTCTTTATTTACAGACACAACATCTTCTGGGTGGGGGGAAAACGAGAAACATTCCTGATCTGCCCACCCAGACAGTGGTGCGCCTGCAGCAAGGTCCTTGTAAGTACTGTGCAGGGGAGAGATGGATGTGGGCTCCATGATCTAGGGAAACCGGCTGGCTGGCCAAAAGGTAATGTGTCTTTCCATSGCTAAGCCTCACCTTTGCCTTTGAAGTCATCTATTTCCACCGGCCACCCACCATGGTCTTCCCACGGGCAGCCTTTGACCTGGAAGGGGAGCAGAAAAGCATGTGCAGAAAGGCATTAGTGAATAAGAAAGGAGAGAAGAGATGGGCTCCATCTGAGAAGAACTGGAGTCCGTGCAAAGGGTCTCATCAGGCTGGTCTGTCTCTGGTTGATGCTCACTGCCCACCATGGACAGAGATCTTCAGGAGCATCTTCCTCAGGTTAGGCCTTRGGATTGGCCTGTGCTTTGGGACTGCATGGGAGCAGGCTCATGCATTTCACCAGGTGCTTATAACTATCCCTGATTCCCTTCCCATGCCCCTCCCTTAGAGGGATCCTACAGAGCACATAATAGCAAGTGCACAATCTCTCAATCCAGAATCCATGACAGTATGTTAGGCACAGCTCACTGAACCACTCTTCTTTAACAGCACCAAGGAAAGAGATGATCTGCACCAAAGCTAGCAGGGAGGAAGAGGAGGTAGCTGAGATGTCTGGTGAAGAACATTTCTGGCCAGACACTTTATCCCAAGAGGCACTGACCCTGCTCTGCCTGTCGCTCACCCGGATTGCCTCCTCCCCTCAGCCCTCTTCTAACTTCCTTCAGCCCTGCGTGCTCATGCAGCTCAGCAGTGAGACACAGCACTCATGAAACGCCTGTACTCACCCTTTACTGCAGCAACAGGCCATGTCAGGGCAGAAAAGAAGAGAGACTCCATGTGAGCAAGAGGGAAACCGCTATCTGGCACACAATGCAGGCTAAGCCCAGCTCATCTGAGCGGAAAGGGCAGGATGAGGTTGCAGGACCAGTGTGGTGCTCCTGAGAGTGGGGGGGCTAAATAACAGCCTCTGCCCTGGGAGYGCTATGAAGGGTCCCCAAATCCTGTGCAAGGGACACAGAGACAGGMTCCCCCTCCTTGCAGATCCCAAGAGATTTCCCTTCCTGTGTGCATYGGATCTGCAGGGTCTTCTCTGAGCTACTGAGCAGAGCTACCCCCATGCAAGGACAAGGACTGCTGCAGGCTGGCAAGTCCTCTAAAAGACTGAGGCCCTGCCCCAGAGCTTCATGCAGAGATTCAAAGATCTCTGGTTGTGATTCATCCCTAGCAAGACCTGGAGGGAGAATCTGATGGAGTTCGGAAGCAATGGGGGCCTTAAAGGGAGCAGAGCAGCACGGACCAAGGCTGCTGGACTAGACCTGCAGGTCCATGAGCAGCTGCTGTCAATGGCACCAGGTGTAGGAGCAGGAAGAAGAGCAGGAAGTCTGCGATACTGACGGATACCAGGAGAAACACAGGGAGGGAATTGCGACAAGTAGAGCAGGAGGAGGGGAGGAAGGATGCCTGGCTTGCCGGTTACTTACACTTTCTGATGATCGCTAACGCGGTTTCGGAGAACATTGATCTGCAAGAGAAACACGGGTGGATGGTGAGGACCAGGCTGATTCATCCAAGATGTTTCACCACTGGGTGAAGATGGACCACTGCCCTTCCCCTTCCCTAGCAGTTCTTGTCTGGCTGCAGGGGTTTAAGCAGGGGCAGCCACTAGTCCCATTCACCACTTCTGGTTCCAAGCCAGGTGGAGGAGCCTCGGGCACTGTCATGGATGATTCTGGACCTGAGCTCTGAGCTGAGTACCAGAGTACTAGACTACAGGAATACTGGAACCTGCCTGTTTAAGATAGATGCAATATAGTGAACCAATGCAGCAAGAAACACATCACAGTGCGAGGGATGTGTCCCGAGGAGCTGGAACCCACCAGGCTACCAAGCAGGAAGCCCCAGCTTTATAGGGCAGGGATGGACGGGCGTTCATTTCTTGTCCCCCGAGGCTTCCAGACATCCTCCAGCATTTTCCAGCTTTATGCCCAGCCTTGCCAGATGGCAGGGCATGTGCCTGGTAACTGCTGGGGTTGAATTTTGGAATGATCCTGGGTCATGTCCAGAAGACAGAACAATGTGGTTCCCTTCTTGATGGTGCGGAGCCTTTGTGACTCTACCGGTTTGCTACCTTCTTTCCTGTGACAGCATCATGAGCCAAACAACCCACCTCATGTCCCAAATGGGAAAGCAAGGAGATGGAATAGATGGGAGTGGAAAGGGTGCTCAGGGACGCCTTTGTGTCTCACCTCRTATTTCTGCCGCTTGAACTTTTCCTGCAGGTCAAATTTCTCAGCCTCCAGATCACGGATGCTTTGCCATAGCTCCTTGGCCTTGTCTCTGTGGGAAGAGCTGATTGTTGTGAGTGAAAAAAAAGTGGCAGTGGGGAAGAAGAGAAGGCTGAGAGAGGATCTAATCASTGTCTATAAATACCTTAAGAGAGGGAGTGAGGAGGATGGGGCCAGACTCTTTTCAGTGGTGGCCAACAATAGGACTAGAGGAAACGGCCACAAATTGAAGCATCAAAAGTTCCACAGGAATTTTTCTTGACAATTTCTTGACAAAAAAATTCTTAACAGTGAGGGTGACAGAGCCCTGGAACAGGTTGCCCAGAGAGGTTGTGAGGTCTCCTTCTCTGGAGATCTTCCAAACCCACTTGGACGCAGCCCTGTGCCACATGCTCCAGGTGACCCTGCGTGTGCAGGGGGGTTGCACTAGATGACCTCTGGAGGTCCCTTCCAACCTTAAGCACTCTATAGTTCTACGATTCTATGGCACATAGGATGTTATTGCGGGGGGTAGGGCAGGGATGACACCCTCTCCATGACATGAACCATCTCTCCTCCTCCCCCAGTACGGGTCTTTCTGCAGGCTGCTTGAGCAGCCAGGCAGCAGTTGACCAATGCCAATGATGCCAATGTCATGCATATGCAGCGCTGGGGTGAGATCAGGATGCACAAGTGTCACGCGTGTGAGCGTGGCTCCCTCTGATGGCCACCACGGTCAGCACCAGTGGTGGCCCTGCGGAGCTAGCGGTGCTCACAGCCTCTCTTGGGGTTTCTGTGGCCCGTCACCTGCAGTCCAAACTACAAGCCCAGTGCGACCACRCAGACCCGGGCAGTGCTCCGGGTGGTGGGACTTTGAGCAGGGGGTTTCTGTTGCAAACGCTCCTCCTGCACCCTATCCTCACCTTAGATTGTCCTCRCTGAGGTGGTCAATGTTCAGGGGCTTCCGCCGCTCACTGAGGATCTTCTTCTTCTTCTCCCTCTCTGTTTGCTTCTTTCCACCTTTTTTCTCTGTCTGAAGAAATCGGCAATTACAAGGAAGGAAATCTGCCTAACCATTCCTCCTCTCCTCCTGCCCTGCCCCAGCTTCTCCTGTCCCTCCCTTGCTCTACCCCAATGCCCATCCCTTGCTTGGCCTCCAGTGCCCTCTGCTTCTGGGACATGAGAAGCACGAGTTCTTCAAGGAAATATTGATAATAAGGAACAAGGTAACCCTCCATAACACATCTGACCCTTTAAAAAGTCTCCTTTCCTCCCACTCTTGCTTTCTCCTGCCCCTCTTCATCCCTTCCCTATCTCTTGGGACAAGGTTGGACTCCCCTAACAYGTGGGCTAAGCTGGCATCTGCAAAGTGAGGCTCTAAACTCAATTGGACCTTCTGACCAGCCCACAGTTGAGCGCTTCCTCATCAGCAGCTCCACACAAAGCACCCCTGGGACAGAATAAAACCTTCTGCATGTAGCCTCCAAAATGCAGCATGTTGGAGAACGCTTTCTTCTTCCGGGCTTCCTCTTCAGCCCTCTTCCGGGCCTCCTCTTCCTCTTTGCGAGCTCTCTCTTCCTGCCAGGGTTAGAAAYAGATTAGGAGAGGATGGGCAGAGACCTCACAGATGGGGGTCCTGTGCGTCCTGACAGCTTGTGCTCCTCTGCGCTCCATGGCAGGGCTTGGGCTGGAGGAGCTGCTGCCCAGGGCTGGATGTGCAGAGGTGCCAAGCAGGGAGCACTGCCACAGCTCAGCGATGGGGCATGCCACGTGCYCCAGCATGGACTGGTGAAGGGCAGAGACAGACTAGAGGGTGCCATCAATTCGCGCTGTCCCCAGGGGAGAAACTCACGGCCATGCGGGCTTGGCGCTCCTTCTCCCTCTCGCTGCGAATGCGCTGCTGCTCTGCTCTCTCTGCTCGCCGTTGTTCCTGTGGAAGGAAGGGACGTTGGCCTGGCCACGCCAGGGAATTTGCACCCTCTGGAACATGTCTCTGACCCCRAAGCTGTGTTTTGTGAACCGCAAGGGCGGGTCTCCTGCTCCCAGTTCTTCCAGGGGAAGTGCATGCACTGGAGTCCACCATGGAAGGTGCCTCTGGGGCAGGTCTGCAGCATTTCACTAGCCAGATAAGGGAATGTCCAGGTACTAGGACACAAAGACCTGGTTCAGCCTTCAGGTCTCTTGCAGGGACACAAGATGCCTCAGGTCTTGCTGTCAAGGCTGTGGGGAAAAGAGCACCTTTTTGCCCACTGGTGAGGGGGTAGCAACAAAGGGACAGAGCAGCAAACATACAATCCTGTCTTTGAGGGACATCAGCTCTTCTTCCTCCTTCTTCCTGCTCTCAAAGTGGGCTTCGATGAGGGCCTGTAGTTCATTTAGGTCCTTCTCCATGCGCTTGCGGTGGATATCCTGCACCAAAGGAAAGTGGGAACTGTGGCATTCACACAAGCAAARCCTGCTGGAAGGTGCAAGAGCTGGTGGGCATAACAAGGAGGAGGGATAAGAGAGGAACACCCCATAGGATGGCTTCAGGGGTACTACTCACATCAAAATCCACTCTCTCCCCATCTGGGATTTTAGGGGGCACCAGGTTTGGCATGAAGAGCCTGCAATGAAAGATGATTAGGAAGGCAGTGAGCCAGGTAGCCTGGGGCAGGATGGGGCTTTCATCTGTGCRCTGATGCTGCCAGTCCAGAGCTCTGAGCTTCATGGCCACTAGCGATGCAGAAGGAGCATGTTTTGAGGACAGCAAAGTACAGTGTGCTAGTTGAAGGACACTTCCAGCTGGACAACCTGGGAGGAAGACCTCTGCCATTCATGGGAAGTACTCCGAGGTGCCTGCATGGCTGGAATAACTCTGCAAGCAGCAGGCAAGTTTGTGGGACACATCTCCTTGCTAGGGGGTTCAGGACTGGCAGCCACCCATTTTGCTCACCTGAAAGAGTATGGAGGAACTGTAAGGTCCAGCATAACTGGACACACAAGTGGTCCCCATCCTTTCATCACCTATGGATTGAGGGAGAGCAGGAGACCCTCAGTAGGGGCACACATAATGCCAAGATGTGAGATTACAGCTGAGGTCAGATCTGCCTCCAAACCACGGCATCCAGGTGCTTTGTGAGGGTATTTTAGGTTCCTGGGAATGGCCTGTGATCCCTTTGCTTCAAGCAGGTGGTCCTATCCCAGAGATGCAGGGGCTGCAAAGCCTCATTCCACTCCAACCATGGCTGGGAGTGTAATGGGAAGGAGAAACTCTGGTCATGCCTAGGACTATATATCCCAGGTGGTGTGGAGGAGCACACAAAAGTTTTCTATATCTGCAAAACCAGATTGCAGCTAGATTTCTTCAAAAAAACACATACAATATTTCAAAAGTGCCAGTCATAACCCGTTCTCAGGATTCTCTTCATACGTCCTGATTGTTCATGTGTTCCTCTCTATTTTTCTACCTATACTTTTGTGTTTCTGAGGCCTCAACATCTCATATCCTTTACAGATCTCAGTGGTACTAAGTATATCACAGAGCCTCTAACCCAGCACCAGAAAACTCGTAATTCACACCTAAAAGTTGAGAAAATGCACCGACACTTACTTGGGCTTTGGCTTCARTTCACCTGCAAGACCACAGGAACCGGAGAGAAAGAGAGCATTAGTGGAGCAGAGGCATTTGCTTTCACACCTCAACCCAGACTGTGTGCCACATCACCCTCCTGTGGAAAGGTACATGTGGAGGCACCGGCTTTGAGAAACGTGCCAAGACACCCACTGAGGTGAGGGGCATTCGGAGCACACTCTCTCTCCCAAATTAGGAAATTTTGCAGACCATTTGATGGACAGGCCCCATCCCAAGTGCCTGCTCAGTCCAGGCAAGCCAGTCTGTGAGTGCAGAGTCAGCTCGAGGCAATGGTCTAGCTCGCCAAAGTCTTGCTTGTCTCTCTGCTGGGATCCCCAGCACAAGTGGGGACCCTGGTGTTCCTGGGATCTGCTGGGGCTCAGCCCCAGGCAGGAGCAGTGACCACCAGCCTGTCTTCAGCCCTCTTCCAACTGAGCTCTCCTCTTTCTGCTGCCCTCCAGGGGAGGTGTCAGACCAAAGAGGGGACTGTGGTGATGGGTATAGGGACTCTCTTCTCCCCTCACCCCCCAGGAATGAGGATGGATACTTCACCTTCCCCAGGATCCTGCTCTCTGTCCCCCTCTCCACCTGTGGAAAACATGGTGTTTGGGCTCCAGAAGACCATTCCTGATGTCCTTCCGGGCCACGCATGACAGCAGGGCAGTTCAGACAGCCTGCTCCCCTCTGCCCCATGCTTATTCCCACTGAAAAGCCCATGAAGGAGTCTAGGGCCTTGGAAAGGGTCTTTATAGTTTCTGTAGGAGGTGACCAAGGTGCCAGGATTGCAAACTGAGGTGACAGGGAAGATCTGGCCTCAACAGGGTCCGAGGAGTGCGAGCAGAAGCATTGAGGGGCTCCAGGATGGGTGAGGCTAAAGCAAATCCCTTATGGATGTTGCTTTCCCCCAGACAGGCTGAGAGCACCCCAAAACTCCTCAGAAAGAAAATAGATATCTTGCAAGAACTCAGGCAGGAAAAGTAGGAGTATTGCCCTTTCCTTCTTTTTTTTTATGTAGGCAGCACCAAGCAATCACTCTTGCCTCCTGCAGACCTCTTGTTGCCCTACAGGACTGGCAAAAGAAGGGGCCAAGGCAGCTCTGCTGCATTGACGTCAAGTTCTCTACCAAAACCATCTGATGAATTTGACCCTGGAAATCCTCATGATAAGGGACTAACATCCTGTGGGTTTGGGATCAGGACTGAAATGGCCAAAAATGGTCCTTTCTCCACTCCTGCTTTCTCCACTCCTGGTGCCTTATTTTCATCTTCTTGTTCTGTTTCAAAAGCAATATGGAGAACACAGTAAGMGCATCCACAGACATGATCTACCACATCCCTCTCCATCATAAAGGGGTCCCAGCACCCTGCCTTCCCCACCATGTTTTCCACAGCAGATCTGATCTTGAGCCACCAGACTTTTCAGATCTGGAAGATACATGAGATAAATCAGTTTACCCCAAAGAAGTCTCATGAAGTCCAGAGCTCTTTGGATACGAGACACATCCACCAGTGGATTTCCCAGTTTGAGGCAAAGGTGACCTCTTATTAAAACAGGCTTACCTCTTTTTTGGCACTACTTCATTGTGCTGGACTTGGATATTTCGGAAACAAGTCAGCCAGCAGAGAACAGTTATCCTCACGCTTGTGCATGCAAAGGTCTCAGCATTTGGTAGGATAAGGAAAGGGCAGCTCAGTTTTGCCTCCCACTTATGGACGGCCACAGAGAAGTGGGAAAGCAAAGCTTTCTGTTGTGACCTGCCGTCACAAGCAGCATTGGAGCATCTCAACTCATGCTCTGCAGCACAAGAGAGAGCTGCCAAAGGGCAGCAGCTTTTTGGAGCCAGCCGAGCCATGGAAGCCACCACACACCTTCTGCCTTGGTTTCTTCTGTTTCCTCTTCCACTTCCTCTACCTGTTCTTCCTGATCTGTAGGACAACGGGCAGCGTGAGTCCCACAGCTGGAGCTCCCTCTGGCTCCCTACAGGCTCAAGTAACAGGACAGGCTGTTGCATTGAGCCAACCATGGACAAACCCAGGAGAGAGGCTCAGATGTGGAGGCAGACACAGGAGAAAAAGAAAAAAGACAGTTCAGAAAGGAAAGGACTCTGATACTCATGGGCTGGTCTGTGTGCTTAGGTAGGGAAATATACATAAATTTATTTATTTATTTATTTATAGATGCACCTTCTGGCTAGCCCTGACTCCCTCTCCTGCTGTAGGTGCACCTCTGCACTGCCACACACTCAGGCAATGCAGAACGAAAGGACCAGGCACCATCCAGGGCTGCTCTTGCAGAAATCCCCACTATACAGAGATACTAAATCAAAATACTCCCCACCTTAGACCATGGGGCAGGGTGGGAGTTATTCCTCTTGCTCTCCTGTACCCATCAAAAACCAAGCTCTGCTGGCATTAGGGAAGGTGCCTTCAGCTGTTCTTTGCCTTATTTATGATGCTGATGGAGCATCTTTTCCACTGGAGGGAGCAGCATCCTCACAAGAGCTCTCCATCATAGTTAGAGTGATGCTGGGACCCGCGGGGTCTGGGAGGCCCTGGAGGATTTGGAGTCCCACAGCCCGAGAGAAAGAGAAAGAAAGAAGGCATGACAAACAAGCTATGGGCACGTTAGCTCCAAGGAGGAAAAGTAGAAAACACAGAAACAGAAGCAGATAYGCATAGCACAGCATAGCAGGAAAGGCAGAATGGAGAAGTGGAAGAATGAAAGAAAAACATTTCCCAGCCAGGGAAATGCAAAAGGACATGACGATTCACAACAAGTTTAGAACAGCAAGGAGAGATGAAATAAAGAAAGGTGTAATAACTACCGTCTTCTTCCTCTATCCATTCTTCCTCTTCTCAGCCAGGGAGGAGTGAAAGGAATAAGTGGAAAGGTTAGTCAGATGCCACAAAGCTGTGGGGTCTACTACAGTATCTAATGAGATGAAGAGTCTAGTGTTACACGGATTTCTCTCTTGTGCTGCTTTTTTTTTTTGCTTTTAACACGGTGGATATTTGGCTGTGCAGCAGCCCAGGCCAGCTTGCAGGGCTCTGAAGCACTACAAGCTTTGCTCAGCAAGGTCCACAGTGCAGCCCATGCATAGCCCAGCTGGAGTGCCAGAGCTGCTGAATGCACAGCAAGGTTTGCTTCCTCATCAGGCTGAAGCAGTTGGAAGTTCATGCTTGAGCATAATTAACAGAAATTCAGCTGAGGCTCCAGTTTTAGGTAGAGCCTAAAACTGTTGCATTGAGGAACGAGCTGCAAAAATACGAGTCTGCGTTTCTACCCCCTCTTCCCTGTTCACATCTGGATTTTGGTAAAAGAACTCCCAAGAATATTTGGGCTGTTCTCCACCTGAAATATCACTGGGAACCATCTGGAKCATTTCATTGACCTTTTCTGGTCATGATTTACCCATTGGAGCCAAAGAACTTACCACCACAAAACACTCAAGCAAAAGACTGAACCAACAGCTATAGTCTCTTGGTCTTTATAAGCAACAGTGAGAGACCTACCTTCTTCAACATATTCCTCTTCACAGAGCACACGTGCGCAGGGGAAAGAGAAGGCAAAGAAGGGGTAAGTTATTGAAGTTGCTCTAATCATTTCACAGTTTCAGCCTCCACGTGACTGCAGGTGCTCCACATYCTCTTACCTTCCTGTTCCCTGCAAAACACGATGCAAAGTTAAATTGATCTGCTGAGCTGAATTGATCAGCTGCAATGAGATGCACATGTCAGTTGGTAGTCCAAAAAGGAATTGGGAATTCCCTCAAGAGTGGCTCCACCTATTCCATAGAAGCAGGCAATGGAAATACAGCAGATTGGTGTGTTCCATGCAGTAAAGTGATGGAGGGAGAGGGAAAGACCCMAGCCATCCTGCAGGCTAGGATGTTAGGAGCTGAAGTGCTTGACCTATTTACACTTCTGCACTGGTCACTGTTTTACAGTATTAACTACTTGAGAAGAGCAAGTGCCCATGGCCTGGGACTGTAGACACAAGATATTCCATGTCCTGCCTTAGTCCCAGCTCCTTTCCTGCCTTTGGTGAGCTGCACAGTCTGTGCTTTCATGTGCGCAGGCAATACCAGATATGGGGGACAGATCCATTGGTGAGATATGGGAGGCTGTGGGAGCACTGAGACACAAGCCAAGGATTCAGATCTGCTTTTTGACCTGGAAGATGGGAAATAGGAGGAGCTTTGTTCAGGCTGGCTCCTATAGCCACACAGTTCCAACGGGGAACTCCTTCTACCCATGGCACAGGCAGTGCCCTCTCATGCTTGGCATCCCAGCAGTTCTTATTGCTCCCGAACTCAGACCTCCTTGCAGGGTGCTCTAAGGCGGCACTAGGAGCCCCACCAGCAACAGAATGATGCTCCTTTTCCCAGCTTGGTCTCACCAGTTTAGATGACCTCACTTTTGGTGGATTGTTCTCTTGCTGCTTTTGCGTTCATACAGCTCCTAACGCAAAACAACCCTGTCCCTGCTGGAAACCACCACACTAGCTCAGCAGAGGAGCAAGCAGGCACAGGAAAGGCTCCCAAATTGAGGGGGAGTGAAAACCAGAGCTTATGCACCGTGAATAGCACCTACAAGGGGAGCTACGACCCTGTGGAAAGGCAGGAAAAGGTGCTTAAAAACACGGCACTTACTCTTCATATTCTTCGACGATCTCTTCGGTGTCCGACATGGCTGGTTATCTAGCAGAATTCAAGGCAGATTGCGAAGAGTGAATGTTAGGAGCTGACATAAGGGCAAACACAGCTCGTCCCGYGGAGCCTCCCCAAAGCTGTCCCCAGCCAGACTGTGGTATCTCAGCTGAGATAAAACCCCCTTTCCCTTCCCTCCCGTCCCAGGATCACAGCTCAACTCAAATAAGAACTGGGAGATTAGGCACAGCTTCATAGCACTGATAACTCCGGAGTCAGGAGTGGTGTCCAGGACACGCAGCACCCTCCCCAAAGTGACCTCARGCTGCTGGGATTGCTCAGAGCAGGGGAAAAGAACCCAATTACAAAGTTTGCTTCTCTTACATTTGTAGCCTGGTTGAGATACAAAGCTTTGCCCTGTTATCTCGAATTTACAGCCCTGAAAAGCCAACAACATGAGATCTCAGTAGACTCCCAATGCAGCCCTTGCCCACTGCTCTGCTGCAGCGTCTTTATTCTTGTCTCTGATGCTGAGCTGCTGAAGGATACTGGATTAGTTGTGTCTTCCTCCCATGCCTTTGCTTSCTCTTCTGCAAGGGCTGGAAAGCACCTTGCAGGCTCCTCAGTCACAAAATGCCACAGAAATGGCAGATATGGCTTTTAATAAGATCTCAGTCACCTTAAAACTTCTTTCCTCCACTCCATCTGGGCTTTGGCTTAAGCAAGGGCACACCTGAATCTACTCAGAGCTTAATTCTTTCAAAGACTTGGGATCAAGAATGGCATTTATTGAAGATGAGGTTCAGCCTTACAACAGCATCACAAAATATCCAGGAAAAGAGACAGGGCTGGTGACCGAAGCAGATTTAACAGAAGCTGATAAAGCTAAGTCTTTATCTAGATTTAGATAAAGTGGGAATCAGTCACCGCCTGATTTAGCAATAGAGTTAATAATTGTTTTTAGGAGTGCAGCCAGAGAGGTAGAAATGCTCCTCTTCCCAGAATGTCTGTGTCCTTCGCAAGCACGTTCAGGTGGATTCCAACACGTCATCTGCTCATCATCCCACCTCTGTCCAGCTTCCCCTGATGCTGCATCGCCAGCTCTGTGCAGACCGACCCTCCCAGCAGCTCCCAGTTTTATGGCTCTGCAGCCCATGTCTGAGCACGGGTTAAAGCCTCTCCACACTCCCACCATCGCCCACATTCATGCCAAACCTAGACAAAGTGGACACGCAGCAGGACAGTTTAAGGCAGTTCTAGAAATAACTTCCATGTGCTAAAACACCTGTTCTCTGAGCAGCTCTGCTTCGCATCTCCTCTTATCAGATGTCTGGGAGCAACTGGTCCTGGCTACATCTGTTCAGCATTTATTACTCGTGATGGGTGGGACAGGCTTCGTGATCACTTACTAAAGATGCTGACTGCCTGAATCCGCAATGGGAATGTGCAGGCATGGGAAAGCTGCATTACAGTATGAGTGCCTCGCACACTGAGCTCTGTAAAACCTCACTTCAGAGCCATGACTCAGACGGCGCTGTCTGGAGGCAAATGATGTCAGGACTCGTTCTCGTCTGCCTTGGGTTCTCCATCCGCATTTGCCATCATCATTCCAGACTTCCCCTTCACTGCAACAGACCTTGGTCTGTTTGGTTTAGGACCAGCCTTGGTCCTAAATGCCCAAGACTAGAAATGATCCTGGCACAAGGGTGGAGAATTCCTCCAAGCCAGCGTAGTACAAACACATATTTGTGAAAATATACTTCTACACTTCCCTTCCTGTTTCATACATCCCTGCAGAGTAATTACTGACAAACAGCGAGAAAAGCAGAACTGCTAAGGAAATGCATGAGAAAAGCTAATGTTATACTGCAAAGTGGCTCTTAAGAATTATTTATCCACCCTAGAAGCAGGCTAAATCTTTGGGTTAAAGCTGTGAAACCTCGTTCTGAAGGAGCTAAGAGAGCAGAGCAGGTATATTACAGAGTTACAGAGCAAACATTATGGATGGCAAGTAATCTCCTGTTACCAGCTGTGGGTTAAACRGGGCAAATCTCCTCCTCCTCCTCTTCTAAATCCCCTGCTCTGTGAGCGTGGGGCAGGCTGCTCCCTTCTCTAAGGTGAGCGAATCCTGCACAGTTCATGGCCCCTGCTTTCCTCCAGGTCTTCATCTCCAGGGTCWCAGCATTCCCTCCAGCATTCCAGGTCACTGCACTGCTCTCCCACGGGGCCAGGTCAGGTCACACATGCAGATCTCCTGCCTCTAATCCACCCTGGCTCACAAGGAACCAAGGGCCAGCGTATCCATCCTATCTCACCCCAAAGCACARGGGACAGGGACCTTTCTCAGGGATCCCCAGCACTGCGGCAGCCGGGATCCATTCCAGCCACCTTGGCATGACCCAGTGGTAACTCAAAYGGAGAAAAGCTCATTGCAGGCAAAAACCCACTAAAGAGGGAAGCGATGCTCCATCCGGGGCAATGCCTTTGTGGCAGAAGGACGGCCGCTCATCCAAGGGGAATCAGTGGTAGCTACGAGCCAAACCCTCCTCAGGTGTTTAGTGCCTGCTCCTCCACAGCAGCAACTGAGCATCCCTAGGCACGAGCAGACGCGCTTCCCCCCAGCGCCCTTACCTCTCCCACGGGATGCAGGCGAGATCCCACGGAGCCCGGTGGAAGCTGGCGGGCGCCTGAGAAGCGCTCTTTGGAAACAGGAGGCTTTAAGGGGGCTCCAGAGCCCACCCCCGGCCGGGCAGCGCCGGGAGGAATGTGCCCGGCGCCCAGCGAGGAATGCAACACTTGTGAGCTGCTATTTTGGCAGCCGCAGCCATGGCCCCCTCCACAGCTCCCCCTTCCCCCCCCAGGAGCCCATATAAGCCCAAGCTATTGTGCAGCCTTGGAGATTTGCTATTTTAAACCCGCCGGCCCAAGATACGCAAGTGCCCGAGGGGCTGACACAAACCAGGCAGCTGTCACTTTCTAGGGTTGGGGACACTGATAAGKGAGCGCTCCCACAAGTGGAGGTCCGGATCCTCTGCCATAGCCCCAACCACCAGCTAAGCCCTGAGTCGGTCTCGCTCAGCCTCCACGCTGCTCCCAAGAAGCTCTAGCACAACCGCATGGGTCACAGCAAGCTGGATGCTCAACCAGGATGGTTTCTTGGGAGCCGCCAGGCACACGCGTCTGTCCACCCAGACTGCTCAGTCTGCACAAGCGCCAGCACAAGGGCATTTTGCCTTTGTGCCTTGCCAAAGGAAGGCAGGCAAACCTTTCCTCTTCCCAAAGCTGAAGCACATCAATCAGGAGCATCTTTAAAAGAGTCTTTTCTTTTTTATTAGAAAAAAAAAATAGTGGAGAAAAACAGTCCTCTTCAAAGCCTTACAAGCAGGTTCAGGTTTAGGGTGAGCAATAGAGTCCCACACCAAATTTAGACRCTGCAGTGGCTGTTGGAGGCCCAGCCCTAGCCCAAGGCCTGGTCCCTGTACAAGGACCTGAGCATCATTTCATGGGCTGGCCTCAAGAGAGCACCTTGTGTCCACTGACGGCAGGTGTTCCCAGGCAGGATCGGCAGCCAAAGAGGCAGCAACCAGGTAACTTTGGGTCCCTACAGTGAAGGATAAATGGTTCCTGAGGAGAGCTGAGAGGGAGGATAAAGTTTGCTGGGGTCTTGCACTCAACTAGGCCCAGAACTGGACCTGTAAATAGATCATGGCTATTCCACCCTCTCCAGAAAGGGTTCACTGCTTGTAGGGGGCAGGAATGAAGGTGGTGGGATGGAGGAGGACAAACCTCCTTCTCCTACTGAACTGTTGCTGGAGTGGAGCACCGGGGCCATCAGGTCTACCTCTCCTTCATGACACATTTTCAAATTATGCCTTTACAAGCAGCATTCATCTGATTCATCTGTGGCTGCGCCCTTTCCAACAGGCACGGCCTGGGAGAGAGGTCTGCCTGTTCCCCCGAGTCTACCACCGGCCAGGGCCAGCATGGTCCGCAGAGGGCAGCTGTAACTGCCCTGGCCAGGCAGCCTCTCACCCACCATCATGACCTTGCTGCAAGGGACAGCTTGCRAAGTTCATCCTTCGCAAGCACAGTTATGGGGCACATTGAAGACCTAGGAGCGAAACACCGACATGWTGTGGGGACATGGAGGTGGACTCTGCTTTCAGCATCTGCAGAGGCCTGGATATTCCTGGAAAGGCAGCGGGGCAAGATTGGGGGCACAGGAATAGTCTTCTAGCCTTCCTCCTCACAGCCCACAAGCAGGGGACCCCTGGCCACCCCGGGATCCAGCCCACGTGGCGTGTGGGGGGCTCTTGTGGCACTGGGCTGCTGCTGTGTGATTAGTAGGGCCAGGTTTTGTTCTTCAGAGCAAAAGATCATCTTTTCCCAGCTCATCTCTTACTGCTACAGCTGGAAAAGGAACAAAACAAAACAAAACAAATCRGTGAGGTTGGGCCTGAACTTGCACTCCCCAAAGGCAGCTGCTTTAACGAGGACTGTATATGCCCCAGGACTGTATAAACCCACAAGAGCAGTTTATCACTTCARTCACAACATGTCCTGCTTCTCTTCCTCTCCCGGACTAGACACCTTTTGCCCTTATGTCTGCCCCCAGTTCCTTCCCCTCCTGACTTTCCCATATACGAGTTCCCAGAGTGGCTTCACATGTACCTTGGTGTCCCCAGAGGAGTCTCTTGGCTGCTTTACCCAGACATCACGCTTTACCAGGCTGTTTACTCTCCTGACGTCCTGCAAATAGGAGAATCACAAGTGGTGCAAGCAGTTTTCATTTTCTATGCATCATGCTGGATTRCCGTGGTGTTACCTGCCCCAGACCTCTGAACCATATATGTGCTCCTGATAAATCAGTCAGCCTTGAGCTCCTGCCCCTGGTAGATCTATTTCCTCAAAATCAAAGAACATCTCCAACCCCTAGAGACAGATGGTGGCAGATCAGTACTGGAGGAAGAAACCATAAGGGATATGCAGGCTTTAACCTGGGGTAACTCTGGGAGTGAATCATTTCCTAGCAGACACAGAGCTAACACAGCCTCCTAGTACGGACACGTTTGGGCTCCAGCTCTGATTTCCGTGCTGGGGGTGCCTGGACTTGCCTTCACCAGTTACAGGGCTGGGCTGGAGCGGCCCATCCTAGAATCTYTACCCAGGCAGGACACACCGTGCTGCAACTGAAACAGCATGTCCTTGTAAGGGGTGACCTCTGCCAGCTCTGCAAGGGCTGGACCCCGGGCTGAATCGCTCCTTTCCAAGCACAGGAGATTACCTGGAGTCCCAAAAGTCTCCTGCCTGATTCATGCTTGGAGTGCATGTGCCTGGGACAACATTAGCAGCACTGACTCKTCTCAGGTGAGCATTTTGCACCCTTAGATGCTGAACACACTACATGTGGGGGCTAGGATAGGTACAGGGAGGCTTCCTCACGCCCTGGGAGATGAACACGGGTGGTGCCTGGACCAGGGCATGCTGGTCCTCCTTATCCTACCAAGGGCCGAGGGCAGCTGCCTCAGCAGCTTCTGGGTCAAGATCAGAGCACAGCAACAAGCAGAGCCCTGGCGTCTTCCCATGGTGGTCCTGAACAGCCGAACCAACTGAACAACTGGAGAGGAGGACAGGTTCTCCTGAATCTGTCCTCAGGAGAAAGCTGCAACCCTGGCAAAGCTCCCCGCAAACCTTTTAATGAGTGTGACTGCTCAGTCTCACTAGGTCTGGGCTGTCCCTGCTGCTCCCAGCTCCAGGGACCTGTCCTGCCAGGGCTCTGCCCCAAGATGTCAGCACAAGCTGGTACCTTGCTCTTTTCCTCCTTGCTGGGCTCCTGTGCTCGGCTGATCCACAGATTAATGCGGGATGTCACTGATCCCGGGATCTTCAGGTTGTCCTGTGGCACAGGGAGGAACGAGAGTTACAGCGCCAGGTCTCTGGTTGCACAAACACAGCCCAGGACAGTGCCCAGGGCACAGGGACTCTGAATAAAACTGCAAAAGGCACCTACACCTTGGCTAGATTCCGGCTTTTCAAATGCCAGTGCATCAGCACTAACCCACACACTGCCCAAAAGACGTTTCAGTGGCTGTGTTCAAGCCCAATCCTCCCCAGAACTGTGCAAGAGGGTCCTAACTCCCACCCCTGGCTGCATCTGGGCAGCCTGCTGGACTGTGCCTTGGGTATCCAAACAGGGGAGGATTCGCCCCAAGAGCTGGTGCTTGCCATGACGTAGGACCCCGTTGTGGCAAGGATGTGCAGGAAAGTCCTCACTCAGGACAGCTCCTGGTCTTACCTTCCTGACAGCAAGTGGCTCAGCTTTGGTAGGAACGGTCATCTCAAAGAAGTTGCGCTTGCTGGCCACTCCTTCTGAGGACAGCGTGAGGTTCCTCTGAACAGTCAGAGATGATTTCGCCACCTCTGATCGCTAGGAGGAGAGACGGGTGTGAGCAGGAGTCGTGCTGCACCCAGGCGGTCTCCCCTGGGGAGCATCACGCTCCATCAGAAAGCAAAGTCCTCCTCCCTGCACATCCACATATTCAAGGCTTTGCCCCACTGCTCCYCACAGCAGGACCATGCAGTGATGTCACTACCCTCTCCAAGCGGTATCTGCCTCCTCTTCCTAAAACCCTGAGGCTGATCCCAATCTTTTTTTTGTTTGTTTGTTTGTTTTTTGTTTGGGACCCTTTTTCTCAGCTCCATCTGGTTCTTCATCTCAGCTCAGCCCCCAGCTCTCTCACTGTCCTCTCCAGGCAACCCCTCTCCCTCTCCTTATGCATCTCTCCTGTGTTGGTCCAGCTGTAAGRAGACTTTTCCATACCTGCACTGCTGAGTGGTACTTCTCCAGTTTCTCCTCGATAGTGGTGCTGCTTCCTGGGATCCTCAGACTCGCACTGAAAAAAAGAAAAACGTGATGCAGCCCATGGTCCTGAGGGACTCAGCTTGTCAGGAGGAGACCTAAACCAACCCAGGTTCTCCTCACGTGTGTGTTTCCCAAGTGAACCAAGGCACTTCTCTGCCAGTGACAGAGATATCTGGGCTTCACCACCTTGCTAGGACCCACTCTGTAATCTGCAAAGCTGAGTTTAGCTCCTCAGTTTACCTRTTCTTCATCACTACTGTGTCTGAACTGTATCAGCAATCACACAGAGGTAAGGAAAGCTCTGCCCATAGCCACTAAAGCCTTGCTCACCCACCACACAAAGGTGGGAGAGAGCACCCTCCTCACAGACCTGAACCCTCAGTTCCTCAAGAGGTTCTGACTCAGCAGTCCACACTTTGCCACACAGATGTGGAGGATCACTTGATCAGAGAAAGGTTTAGGCGGAAGCAGCTTCCAAAGATCCTGCTCAGGGCATGGCCAAAGCCAGACCAGGTTCTGCTGGGCCTTTAAAGTTGACTTTCAAATATCTGCAAGGATGGGTCCATACTGTAGCACTGCACTGCTCTCAATACTCTACTGCTCCTAACAGTGCAGACGCCMGCATCAATCAGAAGCTACATCAACCTTGGGCACAAGCTGGGGTATCGTCTACGGCTGCAGTCTTTATGGTGGACATTGGTCTGTGCTCTGCTCTCAACATTATCGCCTGGTCACCCAGGAACCACGGGGATGAATGTTGAGCAGATCTTCTCTAGGGCATTCGTTAGAATGGTGCCAAGTCCTGTCCCCTCCTCCTCCCTTTGAAAACAAGCGATGACCATCTCTGCCCAAAGAAGCCAGAGCAATGTAAACAGAGGTGCTGACCTCCTTGCAAGAGGGCTCTGGTTTTCTTCTCTCTCTTTTCTTGAGATCACCTGGAAGACACAAAAAACAGAGATACTGAAGCAGTTCTTGGTCACAGAAGAAAAACGGGAGAGAAAGGGGGTCAGAACTCCTATCTCCAGGCAAGCTCAATTTTCATCCACAGAAAAATCTCACATTAAAGCTGTCCAAACTGAAAATATTTTTCAGTGTTCTTTTATGTCCCCCATCAAATACCATAAAATTCAGTTAAGCTATAAAAGAGAGGACCTCAACAACACTGTTGCTCTTTCCAGCCTCTCTAAGTAGTTAATTCCAGAGACCACTGGCTTGATTAGAATTGACGAGATTCTCAGGAATCTAAGAAGGAAGAGGAAGGATGATGGATTTTATTTTGATCCTGCTTTCTCAGAGAAAATAGAAATGCCAGAGGGTGGATGATGGTTCTCGTGATTCTTTGGGAAGTGAAGACAAGAAGAGTATTTCCCACAAGCTTCCATGGCAGCACAAGGTGTATGAACATGAGCTTGCTCACAGCCACAGTTGAGTCAGACAAGAAGAGGGAAAAAGAGGAAAGACTGAAGGAGAGCTGCAGTGTCCAGATCCAGGATGGACTGTTAACTCACTTCTGGGAACAAGCCCTGCCAACACAGCCTAGAGATCAAAGCAGCACTTCCTTGATAGTAAGAGCTGAAGGCACTGTCTTCTCTGACATAAGTCTTTTCCACTTGCTTTAGCTCTTACCCGGAAGGAGACAGTTCTTGGGCTGCTTCGTCTGATAGAGCTGCTATAGGTAACATGAGCTGGAGAAGCTTCTGACTTCTCTGTAGGTTCATCTTGGGTTGGAGTCCTCTGCATTTCTTCCTTTTGAGTATTCCTGGGTGGATGCTAACCAAAAAACAGATGTGATGCACCCATGAAGAATTTGCAAACAAGGTTCCGCCCCAGGAATCTGAGTAGACAGGGATGACTCTGGTTTGGAAGCASGAATATGAGATCCTGATCCTCCAAACCTCAGCTGCCTCACTCAGATATGTGAAACCACAACCCTCTGCTCAGTCAAGCCCTGAGGGAAACTGAGAGAGGCTTCCTTGAGACAGTCATCTAATAGCACACGCAACGGGGAGAGGAGGTAAGCAGTGGGACCCTGTCCCTGGTGCCACCTCATCTTTCTTCCAGAGCAAGTGCAGTGGGGGGAAGGACACACTCCAACTATCCATCCAGGAAATGGACACCTTCTCCCTGAACTATGCTGATGCACTTTRGCCCATGACACCATGAAGCCCTCCAGTGCTCAGATAGCAAGAGCCCTTTCATCAAAAGCCCACAGATGGTTTTTCCTTCCCAATACTTTTGACTTTTGGCTTTCTGACTTTTTGACTTTCTGTTCTCTTACAGCACCTGGGACTTCACAACAGTCACTTCTTTCCGTCCCCCTTCTAGGGCTAGAAAGCAAGAAAAGGTTCACTTGTGGTGGGGAGCCACGAGTGTGACCTGCTTTCCAAGTCCTTCTCACCTGCTTGCCAGGAGGCAAGGTCACCACTGAGACCATCTTCTCCTCTATGCTGGGGTTTCCTCCTCCCTTCAAGATCTTCACTTCACAGAGCCTGGAGTCCTTCTGCTCCTGCGCTGCCTGMTGCTGCTGCTCCCCTACCTCACTCCTCTGGTCCCTCTGCGGGGTGCCCATGGCCTGTCTCTCTTTGACCTGGAGCCGTCCTCTTGTTATCACCTTCCTCTCTGAGGCTGGTTCCGAGCGCTGGTCTTCTGATGGTGCCTCTCTGTCCTTGGCTGCATCCTGACCCTGCTTTCCAGCCAGGACCTTCTCCTGCCCCACAGGCTGCTGCGACCCTGCACTGCTCACTCCTGTCCCCAGCTCCTGTTGTTCTTTCTTCTCTCTCAGCTTTTCAGGAATTGTCACTGGGGGCCTTGTCCGCCTCCCATCTTGGGTCTTCTGAACGTCCGAGAGCTTGTGCTCTTCCACCTCCTCCGGAGGCACTGCCTTCACCTGGGGCTGAGGCCTAGACAACAGAGACAAGAAGAGGAGAGAGGAGAAGAGAGAGCGAGAGAGAGAGGAAAAAAAAAAAAAAGGAAAGCCCGTCATTTCTCAGCAAACGTCAGGAATGCGAACAGCACCAACAGACCCCCCGTATTTCGGAGCGTTTCGCGCCCCGGG